TACCAGGTTTTTGATTGTACCAAGTGTACTAGTAAGTAAAATTAACAGTTTAATAGTGGAACAATGGCTTGAAGACCACACGAATCTATATTTGTAAAGTGTTTTTTTTTTTTTGCAGCTTCGAAAGCAAGTACATAGCTGGAACTTTCATGATACTCGATTCTGCTTGTAAAGAGGTAGCAAAAAGATTATGTTTGTTAACTATGTCATTTTCCGAAAATTGAGCCAGTTGGAATGTTGGTGAATTCGTAATTTCCTTATATAAAATTTACATGAAACAATGATGAAATTATTGTCAGCCTTATCACATTGTAGCAGCTGGACAAAAACAAATTCCTTGCCGAGTTCTTTTTAGCTTATGTTTGAGAAATAGGGCTATTATGGTTGTTGTTAGGGGTAAAATGTTCTTTAAAGTTTTAAGATGTTACGACACTCATTCCAATTAATAATTAATGGAGGCCGATATTTAGGTCCTTTACAAAGGAATGATTTCAACTCTCAGTCCTGGACGTTGTTAATGTCTCCTGTTCTTACATGGGAACTGGAGTTATAAATGTATTTGAAATTACTACAATTTCATGACGTAGGTGTATTGTCACTTATATTAACATCTTAACATACCTCGCTAAAAACTTAAAAACATATTTCCGTGTAGATTTGCAAGGATACAAATAGGAGGGAGCTCAGTATCATCAAAATAACCAGGAATTTGTTCTTTAACAGTATAAGCATTAAGAATACAGGCAATATTTATAAAATCAAATCTGCATTGACATATTTGAATTTATAAAATGTTTTTTTATGATCTTTAGGACGATCAATGTTGGGAAACAGTTTAAAACAGAACTTGGTTGACAAATGATGTCTGCCGTTGTTTTCACAAATAGTAATTAGGTCCGAAATATTTGTTTGCAATTCTACGTCCATGAGTACGGGTTTTACGTACAGTTTAAGAAACTTTATCCCAAAATGTTAACATAATCGGCTCTTGATATATTACCAATTCCCATGATATTATCTTTAAGACCTAGAGGATAAACTGACTGTTATTTTTTTAATCCAATTTAATTCAATTTTGTGTCCGTGCTCGTTCAAATTTTGAATGAAAAAGGTTGTTTATTTTCTACTTCTAAAGGTTGAACTGTTAAATGTTTAATATGATGATTGTGCTTCTTAAGGTGTTAATAATGATACTTATTTATTGGGTCTTCTAAAACGATAAAGGTGTTCTTGCTTGCGTTTAGAAAAAAGCGTCCGTTTTAAAATGTACTGAATACCGCATCCCGGTTTGTATCATGTAAGTAAATAGATTGTACTGTTAGGTTTTAACTTTATATAAGTTTCAAAATTTAAGGAAAATGAGCAACCATTTAATGTGGACCATGGTCTGTAAAGCAGTCTTAACACGTCCAGAAACTAAACTTATAAAACAAATTCTTAAATTCATACTAAAATAACAATCACTTTTTTATGACACAGCTTTAAATTTCTACTTTAAACAGATATTTTCATTCAAATATATTTTATCTGCCTTTTTTTGTTTCCATATATCGTGACTGGTAGGCAATCAAACTTACCAGTTGACAATAGAAGTAAGAACAGCAGACAATTGTACTGAATCATCTGAAAGGAAACCACTGTATACATGTATACCGATATGAAAATATTAGAAAGATGAATAAATCAATGTACTTTATAGTTTATAATAATTATAGTTAAAAGGAACAAGGACATTAAATACTTACTACCACACAACAACAAATATTTGTTTATACATTAGGAAATTTTTCTTTAACAAATTTCTTTCATATCTGATTCATGTAAGAAAGCCAATTTAGGATCTGCTATACGTTAGTGTATGAAATAAATTTCAAGAAGAAGAAACTAATAAGCAGACCTTAACTAAATATAAATACTTGTAAAGACTCATATAAATGAAGCGTTAATAAGATATCTGAAACTACGAACAATACAATCAATTAAATATACATGTAATATCAAAATTATGAATAATATTATTGACTTCATATACAGTAAAACCTGTATAAACCGGCGGGCTATGGGACTATGAGATAGGGCCGGTTTGGACAGTGGGTCAGTTTATTTAGGTTTCCTCTTTGACAGGAAGTTATTGACTCCTGACGTCAGATATTGGCATGTGAAAGTTTTTACAAATACTGTAATAATCTATTTATTAAAAGTTATGTCATGATTTGTGTGAAATATTGTGACATGTACATTACAATTGTTCCCTGCCTTTTCACCATTTAACTACGCACGATCTTGTTTTGAGTCTTCGTATTCATTTGCTTAAGAAATTTGAAATTTGTTGTTCCCCGAATTAAAAAATAAAAATAACATTTTTTTTACATATCCTCGTATGTCAAATCGACCACGGTAGCTTCAGTCTCCGACTCGTCAGTTTTACTTTCATTTTGAGTTCATTGTTTTCATTTGCATCAGAACCCTCGCGTTGTTTAAATTTTTCAACGAGAGTTACGTTTTACTTGCACCGTTCATTTCCTATGTTAGTATAGCCGATTAAAAAGCAAGAATTTGATCAAACGAAATTTCATAATGATCAAAGCATTGTGGTACAATGTACGATACCATTCAACTCGACAATGGAATATTGTCATCCAGGTCATCTTCATTATCATTGTCATTTGTTTCAGGGTTCACAACAGGGAACCCAGCATTTTGAAACTCACGATGTAAATTTATTATTCCGCCATTTGAAAAGATTATCAAAGTTACAACGTTAGTTCTATTCGAAATATTCGGCGTTACTTTTAGTTTATTTTAACTAAAATTTAATAGTGTTTCATAAATAAAACTACCGTAAGTTAACGGTTTAACACTCTGCTAATTGATTATCCTGAAAAACCATCATGTATAAATAATTATGTTTTGATTGCATATCAATCAATACTGTTATCATGTTAAATTAATTAAACAAACCGGTTTTAACAGGTAACAATTAATGTAATAAAGAGTATTGGGACTGCATAATTAGACTGAGATTCGGAATACACAGGGTCCGGTTTACAGAGGTTATTTGTACAAAGATGTTGGAGGAGAAAAAAATGAGACTTTAATTTTCGGCCTGAATAGACAGGAAACCGGTTTATTCAGGGTCCGGTTTACCCAGGTAATACTAAAAAGGGAAAAAAGTTGAGGTGGCATAATTTTGTTAGAATTATGAACTAATAATTGATATGCCAAAAATCATTCTATATTAATAAACAGCTGTCTGTATCATTTCACCATGTCATGTTCTCATGTATATTATCATATTACTACAAGTAATAATACATAATGTAATTTAAAAAATGTTATTTGTACGTCTCCCAGGTACATTTCAGCTTCCCAAATATAAATTTTCAAATTCGTTGTAGCAACATTCAAGCTGCGCCTGCATACGGAGTACTAATACTAATATTGTTTATTTAAAGAGGATAACCTAACTAGTTTTCACTAATCTTCTTTGGGGCCCATACAAAGAAAGTATAAAATGTTAATGATTGAAACAAGCAGTCTTCTTCTAAAAACCATGAGATCCTAGTCGTTATACTTTTGCAATGCCATCAATGATAAATGCCGTCACAACTATTATATTTAAAGATATCATTGACAAATACGTATCGCTGTCCCGATAAAGCAATATAAAGTAATCCCGTATAATGTCAAAGTGAAAAATTAAAATGATATATTACATTTTTTAAAGCTTACTTTTATACCATTGTATCGCATTATTATTTTACTCTTAAATAATTCTTAAACTTATCACTATCCTGAAGTGACATACGTTATTTTGAACTGATCAATTGTTCTTAGTTGACGTCTAAGGAAACAGTTGATTTTTAAAACAAAGCGTCAGTTTTTTGTATACCCTTATATGGTTCGTCGTTCTCCACAGGACTGGCCTTGATATTGGGGTAGTGATCTAATTTTGAAAGATATGAATTATTGTAATTTTGTACACTAATCTTTTCGGTATTTTATCTAAAACAAACTTTCATTTAGTTTTATTTCCTTACATTACTTTGTATTGTTTAATTTTTATTTAGGTTATCTTTTCTCGCTTATTCTTTAGTAGCTTAACTTATTTGATACAACAATATAAGTCACTACAAGATGTATAACTGTATAAACTTAAAAAAAATTGTTTTATGATTTCGACATCGAAACTGTCTTGGTCGGAAATTTCTGTGTTTGCAATGTTCAATCGTTTAAGCAAGCTCTAAAGTGGCCATCAGAAAAATATCTGACAACCACATCTGTTAAAGAGTGGCGAAAGATATCAAAGGGACATTCAAACGCATAAGTCGAAAATAAACTGACAATGTCATGGCTATACAAGAAAAAGACCAAAGGAAAAACAACAGTACACAAAACACAACATAGAAAACTAAAGACTGAGTAACACGAACTCAACCAAAAACTGGGAGTGATCTCCGGTGCTCCGGGAGAGTCTGCTTCAAATCGTTTGTGCGGGTCTGTATTGCAACCAATATATTTGTATACGCGACCTGTTACAAGATCTTTGTAGAATGTCTTCCAATGGCCCATAGACGTCATTTAGTCTCTGGTGGATATTTTTTCATTGCCAATTATACGGGTGAATTTAAGACAGTGTTAACCATCCAATAACCTCTATGCTGTCAGAGAAGTTTTTTCGAAATGGTAACGACACATATGGTCAAGCCACAAACAATTAACGTATAAGATATTTGTTAAACCTAAGAGATAATGCACGATGAATTCTAAGGAAAAGTTGTGATCCATGACTAAAAGAATATGATGAAGCCATACATTTAACTTGTATCATTGGAATTAGATGATACACATTGGACGTAAATTGACAAAAATGAAAATAGGAGTGTATATTTCAATAACACAGAAATATAATTCATTGCTGATTGATACATTCCAGGGACAAGTTCAAGGAATAACTTTATCATGATAAATGCAATGAAGTAAGATAATCAATTATTGAATTAGATTAAATGATTTTTATTGACAATCATTCTTTATTCAAAATCATTACACAAAATTAAATTATATGAATTACAACCGTAACGAACTAAATAGTTTTAGCACACTGTTATATATTATACCTCTAAAAATAAATGGCCACATATTGCTTTCAAATTTCGTATATCAATTTCAGTAGTGTAGAGATTTAATCGTTCCTTGTTCTTTATCGGAGGGTTGTCGTATTGACATCTATTTAGAATATTTTATTTCTCTGCTGAAACAAAAAAATTGAAATGCAAAACAAAGGTTTTGCAGAATTGAACCAAAAGAAAGCTAAAAAACTGTCTGGTAAACTAATGAAGAGACTGTTAAATAATGATGAGGTGCAATGAATAAATGTTATACTAACATTATGGCAGTGCTACTAGGAGGAAAGTTATCGCTAGGAATGGCCGATATCGACAAGGAGAGATCGTAATAAATCGTATGACAATAAAACAATCATAGATACCAGGATCAAAATTTTGTACGTTATACACGCTGTTTGTTTACAAAAGACTCAGTGACGCTCAAATAAAAAAAGTTGAAATGACCAAAAAAAAAGTAAGAAGTAAGAAGTTGGAGAGAATTGAGGACCCACAATTCCGAAGGGTTTTGCCAAATTTAATAAGGTAATCTATTCCTTGTGTAAATATTCCTTAGTATTTCGAAAATTTCAAAGTATTGTAAACAGTTAATTTAAAGTTATGACCATATCAATGATAATGCTACAGATGTTAATTCTCAAGACACATTTTTCAAATAAAAAAAACCTTTAATATGTTCGCTAAATTCATGGTAATGAATAAACTAAGTTATGTCCGACGGTTAAAACTTTGGTTCCTTCGAAACAAATTGATCATTTTCACCTTGTATGTTCACTTCATCATAAACATAACCAATATTCGGCAATACATTCGGACCTTGTAAGTTGTCATACTGTTCCGGTTTAATTTTCTGTATACAAAAACGCAACAGGACGACCTCGTAACCTTTTAGTTTGAAGATGAAAAGGAGTAACAATATTACTGTTGCCAGCGATATAGTCAGTAAAACGCCAAGAATAACATCGTTTGATCCGTTACTGCTTTCACAACATTCTTGAAAGCCTAGAAAAAAAATACAGATTGAAAATATTTTTAATATCAAATTTTACAATTTAAGTACTTGTGACACAAACGTAATCAAAGTGTAAGAATGCAACACTTAATCATAACATTATAGTATATCTTTTGCGTGGATCTAGTGGCGAAGTAGGACAAGGTGAAGAAACACGCAGCATTGAAAACTTGATTTTTCAAATAGATACATGATGGCCCAATAATTTGCAAAGATAATTAACAGCACATTTAATATAATTTAAAAGTCTTGATCTGCGCCTTCTATGCAATGTTCCTTTTGCCAATTCCATAAGCAATATACATGACTTTGTGTTGACTGTTACACAATTATGACACTTGAAATTGAGAAATATACCACACTTATTTAACCCTTTAAAAAATATATTAATTTTATTGATAAATGCACATGTTAATATTATCATTTGCCGCTTTGCAATTAATGTAAGAAGTATGTAAAATGCGCTTCAAAGATATAAAACCTGCTGTCCGACAGACTAATGTCTTATGAACATCTGAAGATTGACATTTGGTAGACTTATGATACTTATGATTTTCGAATTCATAGGGCCATAACATGGATCTTATCATAGTTTCTCTTAAGGTAGTACATATCTCTACAGGAAGATAAATCTGTAAAAAACCAGCTGAACGTTTTACTCACGTTCTATTGTTACGGAAATATTAAGCTTCTCAATGATCAAAATTAGTGTTTGTCAAACTGCTATTTATCCAATGGATTTTTTCCGATAGTGTGTGGTTCAAGTGTCAAAGGGTCAAAGTAAATATTTTGTCAAAATTTTATGAACATTAAACGAGATAAATTAAATTTAGTCAAGGTGTTTGGTACCACCTTAAGAAAAGATAGGAATTTATTTTTTTTATTTACATTTTGTTTACTTGGGGTCTATTTGAGAGATAGTGTGGCTTTGATAGTGCTTAATAAAAAATGTTAGAAAGGAACAGGAAAATAATTACAAAAAAGACAGGTAGGATGATAGTAAACACATGAACATTTTATTTTGGATCTGTCTATTTTTACTATAAAATTCCACTGACGGAAAATATATCATCCTCATAAATGGTGTAGTTCACAAAATCAACTAGGTTGTTTGGAAATACCAATATCACAAAGTAAAGGGATATTTCATATATAACAGCAACAGAACATTTAATTATAGTTCAGGAAATAACCGTTATTATTTATCGTCAAATATTCATGATTAAATCTTTCGTTACAAGTATGAAAATATGCTGGCAACCGGTCCCAAACAAATAGCGCTTTCAGACAAAAGAACGAGTTACAGATGACAACGGGTATGTTCCAATTGTAGTAACTACAATCCCGTCCCCTTTTCCCCGATTATGATTACCTACGAATAGGACGTGTGGAGTATGATCTGCTTACCCTTCCGGATATCCTGAGATCAACCCCATTTGTTGCTCTGTCTTTAGTTTTCTATGTTGTATTTTATGTACTGTTGTTTGTCTGTTTGTCTGTTTGTCTGTTGGTATTTTTATTTTTTATCCATGGCGTTGACAATTCATTTTCGACTTATGAGTTTCAATGTCCCTTTGGTATCTTTCGCCTCTCTTTTACTTTAACTTTGTCCTTGGTCTGGAATTCAATTTATATCGATAAGAGTTAGAAAGCAGAATTTCCTTAAAACAAAACTGTGATACCTGATGATTTAGTTGAATCAGTTATCGATATCTTTGTCGTTGAATCGGTCATTGATGCCTTTGTTGATGTATATAAAGTCGACATCTTAGTTGAAGATTTAGTCGTTGAAGATTCAGTCGTTGATACTTTTATAGAAGAGTGAATTGTTGATCCTTTAGTTGATGGAGTTGGGCTTGTAGGTTGAGGACCCGAGGTTCCATTGAAAACATTCTTTATTGTTGTTATTATCGGGTATTTTCCAAGCCCACATATATCATTAAAATCATCAATATCTACTGCCCATATCATACCTCCGCCTAAATTGTTGTCTATGATATACCGTGTCTATAATAATCAAAACAAAAATGCATATTAAAGCAGATAAAAAACTTTTTCTTGTAATTATTCATTGTTTTTAAAGACTTTTTCATTTTTTTCGTTGAATACTGTCTCACAGACTATAACCCAATATTTTTTGTAGATTATGAAGGAATAAATACACATGTTCCTTTCAAAAGAGAGACGAAAGATATCAAAAGAACATTCAAACTCATTAGTCGAAAATAAACTGACTAATGGCTAAAAAGAAAAAGACCAACAGACAAACAATAGTACACAAAACACAACATAGAAAATTAAAGACTGAGAAACACAAACCCCACCAAAAAGTGGGGGTGATCTCAGGTGCTCCGGAAGGGTAAGCAGATCCTGCTCCACCCGTCGTGTTGCTAATAGACGTGTAACGAAATTGTATATACTCGACGCTGAGGTTGAAAGATTTAAATTACCTGTGTATCAATTGAATCATGTGTTTAAACTGTATAGTACTGATGTCCACGTATATTTGTTCCCTATAACAGACGTCCCTTTGATCTCTTTATTATAGACAATTTCATTATAAATATTCCTTATGGAACAAATATTCCATAATAATTATTCCATGATGCATAAAAATAATATATCCAATAATATCTCTTCCTTTTGAAACACTGACAGGAGGCAAGGGTATTGCAGAAAGGATATAAAACTCAAAAGGAAAGCCGAGAACAATGAGTTATGGATGAGAGAAACAAATCTCCCACCTACCTTTAAAAATTAAAGCAATATTTATTTGTTATTTTCAATTATTGCGTTTTCGAAATCAATAGCGACGGGCCATTTAACTGAAATGGATGTTTACCCGAGAGCAGAACTTTTGGACGGGTTGCACACAATGCAAAACCGATGAAATGAAAACCGATGAAATCCAGCTGGTGGGCTGGTGGACGTGTAGGCGAGCGGGAGAGGTGTACCCGTTTTGAGTAATAAATTCCTAACCTATAAGCGCTTTTAAACTTGTACAATGTATGTATAATGTAATGTGCAACTACTTTTATCGTGATTAATTTTGGATATACCTGCTTAGATACCGACTCTTTGCGAAATCTATGCACTTAATACTTCTTATTCGAACGTAAAAAAAATGGCGACAACTACGTGGCTGCAGGCATAAAATGCCCTCAGTGTTAGTGGCAATTGACCAAATTTTCGTGCCATTTACAGACCACACACGGAACCTCGGGCACTATTTTACTCCAGATACCGACATTGCATACGCAGGTTTTTGTGGACAATAAAATCATATAAGATTCACACACAGTAGTTTTTTTATGACAACAGGATGATGCTCAACAGTTTAATATACTGCCTTCAATTGGCAAGGTATGGAATTAGATTTTTTCATTTTACATAAAAACAAAAATATACCGCATGTCGTTATCCGCACCTTTTCCTCTATTGGCGTCATAGACTTAGAGCTCCATGTAGACCCAGAACAAAAAGAAAATAAAGTAAAAAATGAACTTGGGATTATCGTTTAGGTGTCGGGTATATGTGGAACACGCTATAAGGCGCTTAAAAACTTTCAAAGTCAGTGGAAGTCTAAGGAAACATCAGGAAAAAAAATCAATCAGACTGTAGAGCTTTGAGCATGTTTACTAGAGATTGATTGGTTGTTGGATTTTTTCGTCCGGTGACAAATAGTTCATGCATTTTTAGGACGATGTTCAGTAGTGGAGTGACAGATTGATATGTTCGAAGAACAGTAATTAATAAAAAAAAAATCAAACTGGCTTATGCGATTTTTTTTTTCAAATCTAGAAGTGCATACTTGAATTACTATCAACCCCCTTCCCCCGCACACACGTTCACCTTTCCCCTCCTATAAGCACAAGCAATGTTATCAGAAAATAATAATTCTATATTAATATCATTTTAAATGAACCAATCGATAATCAATGTTTTGACACAGTCCCCACATTTACAGTCTAATTTGTCAACCTCAGCGTCGAGTATATACCTTTTCGTAACACGTCTAATGTTAGTACAAATCCGGTAATAAGTCAAATTCGGTAGGTCACATTCTGAAATAGTAAATTTTTATTAAGACTAATATTCTTGATTAATGAAAAAGCAACCGTCAAATGAAAAATATATAAATGTTTGCATTATTTTTTGAATGAAGAATAAATTGAGTACAAATATTCTCTAGGAATTGTCCAAATTCATGCTTCTTTTTAGACGGCCAATGTCGTCTTTACAATAAATCCGTCAAAAGTGTACCGAATGACAGTAAAAGCGAGTACATTTAGATCGGCACATTATTCTTCTTGTCTTTTGAATATTTGTTTTATGCTTACAAGATTATTGCCGACCTGACAACTCAAAACTTTTTCAATTGATTTTAACATTGATTTAATGTTGTGATGTAATTCAGCTGTACGAGGTTCGGAAGAGGCGGATTGATCACATTTCAAAGTCATTGTTTATGTGCCTGTCAAAAGCCAGGAACAATGTTATCCAGTGGTTGTTGTTTATTGCTTTCTTTCATATTTGTATTTCGTTCGTTGTTGTGGTAAAGTCAGACCGCTGTTAATTTCTTTTGAATTCTTTCACATTTTTTTTCAAAACGAGGCCATTTATAGCTTACTATACGATATGAGTTTCACTAACTGTAAGGTGTCTATTTGTCTTATGGATAGTTCTGTCGTTGGCAATCATACAACATCTCCTTATTTTCGTATTTGACTATAATAAATCAAAATTATATAAACGACCAACATTTCTTTGGATGAAAGAACTTAGATAACTTGAATAATGACGATGTAGTAACAAATAACAGTAAAAGAATATAGGCTATAGACAGGAACCCAAATGAAACTTTTAGTAACCTTTGTTTTTATTTGTCCATTTATTTGTATGATGACTGTTTCTGTTTTGTCTTTGTAGATATTTCAACATGACGGCGGCTAGTGCAGATGTCATATGTGACGGACCTTTTCTTTTTATTTATTTGTTCAATAAATTTAACATAAACAAAGCTGCACAACTGGCGAGCTGATCCCATAATAATATGGTGTTTTTGTTTTATGTACTAACCTAAGTGTTGTGATTAAAGGATTAAATACTTTTATGTTCAGTTGAGAACATAGACACATCGATTAAACGAAATACACTATGATGCTCTACTTTACCTCTGGCGTATTTTGATATTTTAGAAAAATCAATTTTACTGTCGTGTAGAGGCTTTTTTGAAAGATTTGTAGATACGACGTTATTGTTGGCGTGCAAATAAGTCCCTCCTCCCACATAAAATAAAAAATCCCCTTACCTCCCCTCCCAACATCTGTTCATTCAAACACAAATCCATTATGAACATTCTGACATTTTCAGAAGCCAGATCATTTTATTTCACATTCAGATATATTAACAATCCAAACTTTTCTGATTGGGTTCCATTAATATATCCTCCAGAACTAGAAATTAAAGAAACAACAGACACGGCTTCCTTCGCCTCATGTTTAGACTAATACCACGAAAAAAAGCGGTCAACTCAGTATCAGAATCTATGACAAACGAGACGATTTTAATTTTGAAATTATCAATTTCCACCACCTTAGTAGCAATATACCAACTTCACCTACATATGCGATATACATTTCCCAACTCATTCGGTATTCAAGAGCTTGAAGCTGCTACTCAGACTTTATAAAACGTCACCAGCGTCTGGGCAGAAAGTTGATGAACCAAGCTTAAGGTTATGTCAAAGAACGTCTCGTCTTTTTTCTAAAGAATATAAAAATAAGAAGATGTGGTATGATGACCAATGAGACAACTCTCCAACAGAGACCAAATGACACAGAAAATAACAACTATAGGTCATCGTACGGCCTTCAACAATGAGCAAAGCCCATACCACATAGTCAGCCATAAAAGGCCCAGCAATGACAAATGCAAAAAAATTATAACGAGAAAACTAACGGCCTGTTCCAAGTTCCTAGTTCATAGGAAGATACCAAGACTTTGTTGATAAATATTCCGTGTCAACTTCACAAATTATACATGATGGTCTTGAAGTATAGATTCTAGGTACTGACGTTGGTTGTCATCTTAATTACATGCTATAGGGTTCTTTTATTTGTCTTTGTAAATTATTTACCTTTACTGTTTATTCAATTTTTGGTAATATCCTTTTGGCGTGGCTCGGTACTTATACATCCCGCCATTGTGTTATTGTGCTATGGTCATTTTTCTGACTCTTGTCTTTCATTTTTGCTCATGCGCTTATGTCTATATGCCTTTTTGTTTTTCTTTGTTAAAATATTTGTTTGTTTTATAGTGATTAAGATTATAACAAAATGTTGACTGCTGTACCTTTATTTTTGACATTTTTTCCTATTATTTCTGTTTGTTTTATTCACACATTGTTGTCAATAAAATGGAATTACATGCGACTGTCATACAAGTCAGAGGTTTAGCTAGCTATAAAACCAGGTTTAATCCACCATTTTCTACATAAGGAAATGCCTGTACACAGGAATATGACAGTTGTTTTCCATTCTTTTGATGTGTTTGAGCTTTTGAATTTGCCATTTGATAAGAGACTATTCGCTTTGCATTTCCTTGGAGTTTTGAATTTTTGTTATTTTACTTTTTTTTTAAATAGATTTTTTGTTAATTGAATTATTTATGGGTATTTTTAGTATCTGCAATACATATTGTTTGAGAGCATTTCATTTAAAGATGGCCGTTTTTTTAAATAACAAGTGATATGTTTTGATCGATTAATGACAGTTTAAAAAGTGACTAGGCAAAGGAAGACAATCTAATCATTATAAGATATGTATCAAAGGCCAAGATAAAGTCCAACAAGGTTCATATGCATGATTACTCTTTACCTTAATGGAAGAAATTATGATAACCAAAGTTGGCGGTATCCCTGAATAATACAACGATGTCGTGAATTGTTTTTGTACGTCATGAGTTCCTCCATTTGTGACCTTATGGAACTAATCAATATGGAAAACGTGCAGTTGTTTGATTTATTAGAGTGTTTTTTAAAGATTTCTTCGGATTATTGTCTCAAGTGCAATCACCACATATATTTTTGGAAACTCCTCAATACAACAATATCAGCTATTACGAGGTCTTGTGGCAGCCTAATTGCCTATATTTCAGGAAGTCAAAGATTCAATCCAAGGCCTTGTCGAACCAAAAACTTAATGAATGGTAATTGTTCCTTCTTCGACAAGCACACGAAATTTAGGAATATGGACAAATATAATGGTCATCTTGGAGTTTATTTGGAATCAGAATAATGTGTTCTGGTGTATGAAGGGTAACGTGTCTTCCTTCTTATTCTTATTTTGTGAACTATATAAATAAGGAGACTTGGTATGGTTGCAAATGAGACAAATATCCACCAGAGCCCAAGTGCCGTGGTTTAAGCAACTACGCCGTACGGCTTCAACAATGTGAAAAACCCGTACCATTAGGTCTAAAAGGCCGCCATGTGAAAATTTTGATATAATTCAAACGAATACAAAAATTACGCACTGATTTACGACAAACTAATAAACAAAATATAAAGATAACAGTCATTAATGACAAGCTTGACGTGGGACAGGCACATCTAGAATGTGGCGAGGTCAAACATGTTTCCAATATGGGACAGCGCTGCAACAGCGCTCTTTTAGAACAAACTGTAAACATATGTTGTAATGACTGAATTCATTGACTGGACGGTAAACAGTCAACTCAACGTTTCAGACTAAAACAAAGCAGATATCTGCGTATTGTAATATCAAGTTATCTTTTGGACATGCTCGTGATATTTGTCCTTTGAAGTTTAGCATCCAGCAATTAATCAATCAATCGAGATTCGTTTTTTGATTAATAATCAATATTTTTTATGTTTTGAATCCTGGTTATACCTTACCTTTATTGCAACGCTTCTAATGTTATCGTAACCAACCCATTGGTCGCCTTTGTAGGCATATGGTACTTGTTGTTCATCTAGCCAACCTGCTGTCCATCCCTGATTGTTGATATTGGAACAGATCTGTAGAAACAAAGAGAAAGTAATCACGAAGATAAAACACTTTTAAGTTCTTTGTTCCTCTTGAATACATCACGGTAATGAGGATGGAATTTCGGTGAAAATATTAGATTTATGGCAAGAACCTCAATGAATAACAATATCGAAAGATACCAAAGGGACATTCAAACTCATAAGTTCAGAATAAACTGGCAACGCAATGGCTAAAAAAAGTAAAAAGACCAACAGACAAACAACAGTACACGAAACACAACATAGAAAACTTAAGACTGAGCAACACGAACCCCACCAAAAACTGGGGGTGATCTCAGGTGCTCCGGAAAGGTAAGCAGATCCTACACCACATGTGGCACCCGTCATGTTGCTCATGTTAGTACAAACCCAGTAATAAGTCTAATTAGGTAGGTCACATTCGGGTAATTGAAGTCGGAAAACAGAAATTAATGTTGGGACGTACGGACGTACGGACTGACGTTCAGATGGAGGCGTAAACAATCATCATAGATACCACGTTTGTTATTTTGTACGCCAGACGCACATTTAGTCCAGAAAAGATCCATCAATGACGCTGTAATTATAAAAACTACGAGTAGAAAGCAAAATTAAGACCAAAATTTAACAGCACCGAAGAACAAACATTCCGAAAGGTTTTACCAAGTACAGCTAAGGTTTTTTTGGGCTTATATCTAAAGGGCTGACATTTTCTATTGAAATACACCCTTTATCAATGTCGTGTGTCCGAAGCGCTTTTCCGGATTTACCTTTATCAGAAACGCAAAAACCTATATATTTGAAATCCAGGGATGCGAACAGGGGCTATATGACCAATAAAGGACCTAACGCTAAATTGTTAGGGGCTATATGACCAATAGGGAACGTAACGCTAAATTGTTAGGGGCTATATGACCAATAAAGGACCTAAGGCTAAATTGTTAGGGCTATATGACCAATAAAGGACCTAACGCTAAATTGTTAGGGCTATATGACCAATAGAGGAACGTATCGCTAAATTTTTAGGGCTATATGACCAATAAAGGACCTAACGCTAAATTGTTAGGGGCTATATGACCAATAAAGAAACGTAACGCTAAATTGTTAGGGCTATATGACCAATAAAGGACCTAACGCTTAATTGTTAGGGCTATATGACCAATACAGGACCTAACGCTAAATTGTTAGAGCTTAATGACCAATAAAGGACCTAACGCTAAATTGTTAGGGCTATATGACCAATAAAAGACATAACGCTAAATTGTTAGGGACTATATGACCAATAAAGGACCTACCGCTAAATTGTTAGGGGCTATATGACCAATTAAGGAACGTAAGGCTGAATTGTTAGGGTCTATATGACTAATAAAGGACCTAACGCTAAATTGTTAGGGGCTATATGACCAATAAAGGACCTAACGCTAAATTGTTAGGGGCTATATGACCAATAAAAGACCTCACGCTAAATTGTTAGGGGCTATATGACCAATAAAGAAACGTAACGCTAAATTGTTGGGGGCTATATGACCAATAAAGGACCTAACGCTAAATTGTTAGGGGCTATATGAACAATAAAGGACCTAAACGGAATAGACAAATTCATCTAAGGTTACCTTTGCGGGATGGAGTTAAAACCTTAACCTCCTAATGATTTCTAATTAAAAATTGTAATTTCAAATTAGTAAAATTCATAGATTATTACTGAGCTGATTATATCCACAGCAGAAGTATCGACCCAGTGCTAACAAATGAAAAAACAACTTTGTTAATTTTAAAGTGAGATTAAAATATCCCTTTGTAATATGACTGTGTCCGGATTGAAATGAAAAAAGGCATGGATTAATCGTGAATGACACTGCAAAAAGAAAAGAAAGAAGGCAAACCGCAAAAAAAAAAGTCTAAGGATTTTCTTATCCTATACATAGATTACCTTAGCCGTATTTGGCACAACTTTTTTGAATTTTGGGTCCTCAATGCTCTTGAACTTTGTACTTTATTGGCTTTATTACTATTTTGATCTGAGCGTCACTGATGAGTCTTATGCAGACGAAACGCGCGTCTGGCGTATTTAATTATAAGCCTGGTACCTTTGATAACTATTGAGACAGGGGTATGAACTTGTAGTGGTGTTAAATTTGTTATCTAGTATCTCAGTTATCCCCTTTCATTCTCAATCGGTGTAATGATAAAGCTTTACATACAACTATACTATTATATTACTTTATTCTTACTTTTTGAATAGTTAGATATTTATTGTTAGGTCATAAAACATATATTGTAACAAACAATAATATATTAAGTCTTTGGTACCGGACATATGTTACCTCATAATATGACAGAAAACCTTTTTCTTTTGTAAATGTTCCCGGTGTTCCTGCACCCATTGTAGGAGCACCAAGTCCTGTCTGGGTTGTGTCTCGTAATATAAAAGACCTTCCATATGTTGCAATCCCTAATATCAGTTTGTGTTTCGGTGTCCCTTCATTCAACCACATATTGATAGCAAAATTCTAAAAGAAAAATAGAATGAATTAACAAAATTTCCCCCCTGTGCTAACTGTTTTTTCTATTTTGTACATTGTTCATCCTCTTAATACCTTTCTTTAGAAAGATAATTCACATAGCATCTACCCTCTCCCACTTCAACCTATCTATCTGTATCCCAATTTTTGACATTTTTACCTATTATGTCTGTTTGTTTTGTTCACACTTTGTTGTCAATATAATGGAATTTTATGCGGCAGTCATACAAGTGAGAGGTTTAGCTAGCTTTAAAACCAGGTTTAATCCACCATTTTCTACATAAGAAAATTCCTGTACCAAGTCAGGAATATGACTGTTGTTTTCCATTCGTTTGATGTGTTTGAGCTTTTGATTTTGCCAATTGTAAAGGGACTTTCCGTTTTGAATTTTCCTTGGAGTTCGGTATTTTTGTTGTTTTGCTTTTTTGACAATTAAAAGTTTTAATTATTGTGGGCATCTAGGTTCAACATAAGAAAATGCCTGTACCAAGTCAGGAATATGACTGTTGTTTTCCATTCGTTTGATGTGTTTGAGCTTTTGATTTTGCCAATTGTAAAGGGACTTTCCGTTTTGAATTTTCCTTGGAGTTTGGTATTTTTGTTGTTTTGCTTTTTTGACAATTAAAAGTTTTAATTATTGTGGGCATCTAGGTTCAACAAAAATGGTTTGGTCTTTTTCTGTAAAGGAATATTTTGAAGGCGGATTGAAATCCGATCTCTAATTGAAGTTCACATCTCAAATATAAGGGTCCAAAATGCGTCACAGTCTTAAATATCAATGTCCATTCCTATATCCTCTTTTCGACGTCCGATTTTACTGTCATATATAACCAAACCTCATATCTTGACTTACGTCTAAAAATTGACATTCAGGGTAGATTGACAACAACATTTTACGATAAAAAAGATTCAAACACCATTTGCATATGCAGTATATATCTTTCCCTTGATACGATGTCCCAGAGCTTGTATATCCTTTCCTGGTTTCCTGGATAGAGGACTGCTGTTCACAAGCAAGATATTGTCTAACAGACCTTTATACTTACGACATTACAGTCGCTGTTCAGAGTGACAGTTTTGTATTACACAATAATATACATACGTCATTACAGAAGTAGTAAGAGCCACACTTTTATTAACATTATGATATACTTACTTCATAATAGGCGTCGTTAAGAGTCATAGCATTGTATAAAGGACCTATATACTTACGACACTAAAGGCGTCGTTAGGAGTCATAGATTTTTATAACTAACCACTATACTAACGACATTAAATGCGTCGTTAGGAGCAATAGCTTTGTTTCGGGGGATTTCACAGTGTTTTTTCAATTTCATTTACCTTTTTATTCATATTTTACTTTATTTGTACTTTATCGAAAGGATGTATGCTGTATACGGTTTAAACTATCGGCTGCAAAATCTTTTTTTTTTATCGGCGTTTTTGTCAGTTTGCTATAGGCTTCAACACCTTTTGTTGTTGGTGTCTTTATTATGAGCTTCAACAACTTTTTTTGCTAGTGTCTTCGTTGGTTTTTTTTAATTTTTGTTGCGTAGCTGTGTTGTGTGTCCATGATGTGTGTTTGCATAGTTTTGGCTGCTGGTCTGTTATGTCTGCTTTGTCAATATAACGGAACTATAAACACCTGTACTAAAAGTTAGAGGTTTGGCTAGCTATAGAGCAAGGTTTAATCCACCAGTTTTTTTTTCGGTAAATTCCGGCACCAAGTAAGGAATACTACAGTATTTTCTCTTGTTCAGTTTATTGATAACGTTTGATTTTGTCAGTTTCTTCACCCTTTTTAATGTACTAGGAGTCCAGTATTTTTGTATACATTTTTATAGAACGAACATAGATTTGTATAACGGACTTACTACATTAAAGGCTTCGTTAGGAGCCAAGACTTAGATTTTTATAATGGACCTATATACTTACTACATTAAAGGCTTCGTTAGGAGCCAGTGATTTGTATAATGGACTGTTATGTTGTGCTACACTGTTGTAATCACTGAACAAATCGTATGACATGAGATTGATGAAATCTAAATGCCTGCAAAACATGGAATAAAAACCCATTTAAACATTTGTAATTTTGATAAATTGATAGTTCATATTATTTTATTCCTAATCATTACTCAAAACATAAAATTCATGACTTAAGACTTAAATTAAAGATATTTAGTATACAGGGAAAAATACATCAGAAAATAAATAAAGACGAAACCTAGTTTAAAAAATAATTGTAATAAGGATGTTCGCTCCTTTTGTTTTTAAATTTTTGTCAGATATTCGGAATCCTCTGGTTTTATCCATGTTGTGCCAATAAAAAATTGTTGGACATTATATCGCTTATTATCGGGAACAAGAAATGATAAAAACTTCGACAATTTAGTCTTTTTAAAACACCTTTCATTTTTTGCATTTTAACATGGTTTTAAGGAAGTTTGTATTAGGAACTGAAAGTCTTACTTTGCGATTTTTTCGATTTCATAAGCACTTTCAATAGTAGATTTACCGGCTGCCACGGCGGCTGTCAACAAAAGACGTGATCTCCCGGAAGTCAACACTTCATTGTCGTACTTTGTACGTAATTGCTGGAAAATTGAAATATAGATTAATAATTTGCTACCTTAACATACAATTCGTTTATGATTCCATAAACTACATGAGTGGATGATGGAAATACTATTGAAATGAATATTTTGTGTAATATGTATCGACACAGAGGTACATTTGACGAGTTTATCACATTAAAGTTTTTTTTATTAAGTACTCAAAAGTCCCAAACCCCAGGTTCCATAAAAAGCAAGGAATCCCTAAATACAGATTTCTGCATAAAAAATAGTTCATAAATATATATAAAATGATGATTTTTATTACTTTTTTATCATGACTTGTCATATGATATTAAGGTTCGTAAATACATGCTCTTCAACATCATACTTTATTTTTTCCCTTTTTAACTTTTTTGGATTCGAGCGTCATTGATGAGTCTTTTGTAGACGAAACGCGCGTCTGGCGTATATACAAAATTTAGTCCTGGTATCTATGATGAGTTTTTTTTTCGTTGTGTGTTCTTCACAAATTATTTTAATAGATAACTTTACCTCCACTAACTGAGTAAACCTCTGTTTATCTTCGGGAGGACTTCCTCTGTTGGCAGGATATTCCCAGTCAAGATCTAGACCATCGAAACTATTAGCTCTGAGAAATGTCATTGAATTTGAAGCAAATGCGTCTATATTTGATTGAGTGGCTACCATTAGTGTAAAATTGTCACTACCATGATTCCATCCCCCGATGGCTAGCAGTATCTTTAAGACAGGATTTTTACTCCGTACATCACGAATCATTTCATACTGACCTTTACCTATTGAAGCAAATAAAACAAGCAAATTTTAAACATAAGACAAGGCAGTAACAATAATTGAAAAAATGATCATATGAAATATTGAAAAAAAGTATTGAGTTTCTTTGCTAAAAATATATTTCTTGTTCATTTGTTATTGATAAAAACAGATTTTTTTATTTAAATCAATTGTCACTTAAAATTGTAGTTGGAAAACGATAAAAAAAAATCAATAGAGCATATATAGGAGCCAAAACATATATAACAGTTAACTTAAAGCAATATTCGTCAAATGTTCTAAATTACTTACCCCACTCATTTATATCATTCCATTCATAGGGTTCGATATTGTTTCCGACCACCTTGGCAAAAGCATAGATCACGTGAGTACAAAGATACGGATCGATATCATTAGCCATATACTTTCCTATTCCGTCCCGATACTGTGCCCAGTTTGTGAAGTAACACACTCTTTTATAATTTCCATAAACTGAAATTTATATTTCAAATATATACAAATATATTAAATAATGCAATTTCAAATAAGACAAACAACACTGAATTTTGGCTTCTCTTTTACCTGTATGCCCAGTGTTGAACATCGTACATGGTAAATCATGCTTCGAAGTTGTGTCTTTATTTGTTTCATTTTTTGTATCCAGTTATGTTTGTATCGTTGCATTATGTGGATGTGAATAAACTATGTAAAATTTTAATCGAGTCGTGGACATAAAGTTTCAATGTGAAACTAACCAATTCCACGAAATACTATTATGAGACCAATGCTACACATTGCCCGATATCAACAATTTTGCAGATGATTAGGGCATAAAATTCTATCAAAAATAGTCATAATTGCCAAATAATCTCGTTGTAAAATAGGACAAAATTAAAAAAAATTAGAGAACCATGGGAAACAAATGTTTGTTGAATGACCTTTAGGAAAATAATGTGTGCATATCAGAGATATGCAGTCTGACAATCTTGAAACTCTTTATAGAAATAAGGAAATGTGGTATGATTGCCAATGAGACAACTATCCACCAAAGTTCAAAGAAAGTGAATGTAAGTAATTATAGGCAACCGTAGGGCCTTCGACAATGAGAAAAACCCATACCATATAGTCATTAATAAAATGCCCCGACATGAGATTTTAGTATATTGTCTTTGACAGTTTCGAAGAAATTGATGTAAGACGTATTTTTTAAATTATTTGTTATATTTACTCACAACTGGTTACAATGTATATAACGATATGTTAATGTGTAAAGCAGTGTGAAAGGTTCAGTGGCTATATCATTTAGATATGAATGATGAAACATCAAACATGCATCTTTTACAATCATTGGAACATTACAAACTAAACAAATAACCATTGTCCTTCCTTCAAACTTTGTTTTCTTGTGCTAAATGTAAAATTAATTTTATCTGTATTTCATATATTCAAATATATCGTGACAGGTAGGCAATCAAACTTACCAGTTGACAATAAAAATAAGCAAACCAGACCATTGTACCGATTCATCTGAAAGGAAAATATTATAAATATGTATACTTTATCAGACTTTCGAAGTTTTTTTAATGACAATATCTGATAAATAAATATGTGCACTTCATAGTAATGGTTAAGGTTAATAAGGACGTTTTTTATAACGAAAACAAAAAATGTTAAAAAAAAATCAGTTAACAATAGGGCAATAAATATTTCCTTGTACATTTTGAACCTTTCTTTCGCTAAATCATTTTACTACGATTTACACAGGAAAGTCAATATTGCATTTTGTGTTATAAATCTCATGTATTGTATAAAGTAAAAATTACGGAAATTTAAAGAAGAACCGTACTGATGGGACAAAAAAATGCTGCGATGTAGGAAATTACGAATACTACGAATAATCATATATAATACTAAATAGAATAAGAATTAGGATATCGTTACACAATGGATGCAGAAAATCCATCAATCTTACAGTTGTCCATTTAATCATTACACCATATTTTTATGAAAATAACACTGTAAACTTTATACGTCTGTAGCGCTTTTATATATATATATATTCAAACCCAAATTCTGTACGAAACAACAAATTTAAAAACTTGCTTAAAACTATGAGAATATTCCACGACAGAAAATAAACTCACCATAGATACCAGGATTGAAATTTTGTATTAGCGCCAGACGTCTACAAAAGACTCATCAGTGACGCTCGAATCAAAAAAAGTTAAAACGGCCAAATAAAGTACGAAGTTGAAGAGCATTGAGGACCAAAAAATCCTAAAAGTTTTGCCAAATACAGCTAAGGTAATCTATTCCTCAGGTAGAAAAACCTTAGTATTTCAAAAATTCAAAGTTTTGTAAACGGTTAATTTATAATTATGACCATATCAATTTCTTCTCTCAGACGTTAGAAGAAGTACATAGAGAGGTCAGTTTAATGGAAGAAATTTCTATTATTCGATACAAAACAAAATTATTGGAACAGTAAGTTCATTAGGAGAAATGCCCGTTGGAAGACATTTTTTTTCTATCAAACGTAATATGAATCACTTCGCGCTGATCGCTCGTTGGAAAAAATACTTCTATTAGATTTAAACCTAAAATGAAATATTTAATCTTAGCCGTTAGTTCGTTGGAAGAAATTTCTTCTATCATACCTTCATTTAGATCTAAAATGAAACACATGTAGCTGTTAGATGGTTGGAAGAAATTTCTTTATCAAACCTGACCTTAAATGTAATATTTGTTGCAGTTGGTAGTAAGTCGGAAGAAATCTCGTCTATCAAACCTTCAATAAATTATTTGAAGCAGTTAGTCAATTGGAAGAAATGTTTTCTATCAGACATAGAAATAAAATGAAATACTTATGGCAATTAGTTAATTGGAAAAAAATTCTTCTATGAAACCTACATGTAGATCTAAAATGAAAAACATGTAGCTGTTAGAAAGTTGGAAGAAATCCACACAACTATAAACTTTACAAGCAAATAATTCTTTTAAAAAGGCGTCCCACCCTTTGCGCAGACAGAATAAAAATGATCGGTGCGTTCGAATGATATGTCCACTTAATATTTTCTAATTTTAAAAACAAAAATGTTCAAAAGAATTATGTAATTGCATTACCTGTTCTCAGAGACACTCAAATGTTAGAGCGTTGAAATACACTATCGTTATGATAAGTAAATGATACATGGACGCATGCTGATTAATTGATTTAAGTAATGACAGCTGTTATAAAAATTAAACGATCATGTCTTTCTACACATTTAAAAACACTGTACATGTACATAATGTGCGTAATCAGAGGTTGGTTGTTCGACAATTGAATTTTGTTTAAATTTACGGAACTTTCCACCTGCTATATAATGTAGGGTTCAAAAAGGTCAATAAGACAGCATCCAAAATTCAACTATATTTGATAAAAAAAACAATTTACCACTATACTTCAAATAAAATTATTTTTTATATAAGGAATGTCACTTTTATTCATTTTTTCCCCAAATATTTTTTAAATACTCAACCAATAGCAATTATAATTTTTTTATGATTATAGTTTTGAACCATTTTTACACATGTTTAATTTGATAAGATTTTCAAATGGTGGTAAACTGTTTGAAAATAGCTCTATTGTATCATAGATAAAATTTATTTGTTCAGGGTATGTTCACTGGTGTTAATATGTCTTTTGATTGAGTTAAGCCATTTCAATTGATATTTTAAAGTGTGTCTTTCTATGTTGTGATGTTACACTATTGTTTCAGATAAGGGTGAAGGTTTGGTACCATTAAAACGTTTAAAATCGCTGCAATTGTTTGCACCTGTCCTTTGTCAGGAATCTGATGTTCAGTAGTTGTCGTTTGTTGATGTGGTTCATAAGTGTTTCTCGTTTCTCGTTTTTTTATATAGATTAGACCGTTGGTTTTCCCGTTTGAATGGTTTTACACTAGTCATTTTTGGGGCCCTTTATAGCTTGCTGTTCGGTGTGAGCCAAGGCTCCGTGTTGAAGACCGTACTTTGACCTATAATGGTTTACTTTTATAAATTTTGACTTGGATGGAGAGTTGTCTCATTGGCACACATACCACATCTTCTAATATCTAGTATATCAAAACATTCCGGAGTTACAGTGTAACCTGACTTTTTCTAATAGCGGTAATCCCATAACAGTGTGGACAACCGTAATAGTTATGTAATAATAATACTGAATCATTTATCTTTAACTTGTTTGTCATTGGCTTTCGATAACAATTATTTTTACGTTTCACTCAGTCTGTCAGAGGCCTTCCAGTTGGGATTTAAATAATCACTTGTTTCACATTTCGATAAATAAAATTAAATTTTCTTTCAACAAAATTTAAAAGGAATTTGTTTTAAACATCACCACACCCAACAGTTTCACTTGAAATAACAATAAATGTGCAGAGCTAATATCTTTAAATTATAGAAAAATATATTAAATGTTAAACATGTCGATTTTAATAGAATAAAAACTTCAAGTTTATGGGGTTATTTCACAAAAAAAAAAGTCTTACAATACTCCCACGTTTGGAACATTGAAGAATAATCTACCGTTTATTCAATGGATAAAATTTGTTTGTGAAAAGAGCTCAGGATAATGGAAAAAAAATGTCTTCCTATTTTTCGCATGACACATAATTTGAATCGTTCAGTCATTTAGAAAACTCGTACGGTCAGTTTGCTTTGGATATTGAAGCATATTAGACTACTCAATTGTCTCTATTTAAGTATATTTCTAAAGGTATATCTGAATAACAAAAAGACTTTTTTCTATCTGTATAATGCTTCGTGTAAAGGGGAAACTGGTACAGTTTATTAGTAGCAAAAAACAGAAATTTGAAATGAATGAATAAATTTAAAATCATAAGCAGTAACAAATTAACAAAAAGAACCCTATTATTTTTCAATTTTTAGTGTATTTTACGGAAATTTGACAATCGCTTCCCTAATTTTACTGGATTACTAAAACGTTCATGCGACGCCCGTTTTCTGAACCTGGATGCATCACTTATTTGTCTTTTGAGTTTCGGTGTCTTTGTCTTTGTCAATTGGCTGCTGATTCAAGAACGAATATATTGAAGCATATTAGACTACTCAATTGTCTCTATTTAAGTATATTTCTAAAGGTATATCTGAATAACAAAGAGACTTTTTCTATTTGTATAATGCTTCATGTAAAGGGGAAACTGGTACAGTTTATTAGTAGCAAAAAACAGAAATTTGAAATGAATGAATAAATTAAAAATCATAAGAAGTAACAAATTAACAAAACGGCCACGTTATTACCGGAGACCTCAACATTGTCAATAACACTTCCCTGCGAAATTTATTATCCAAAGGTCCGAAATATCGTGAGCCTAAATCCATCAATTGGAAATACAACTTCAAAATACTGATGGATTCAGTCGAGGATTATGCCAGGCAATGGGCTAAACGCGAGAAAGAAGACGTAGATACTCTTTCCGAATGGATTAAGGCTGTGAGATCGTTGATACAAATCCGAATTAAGAAACTAAATGGGCATATCAATACCCACGCTACGTCAATTTTTAAAGACCCAAATGTTGCAAAACACTTGTCCTACCTCCATGACAAATATGTTGTTGTCCCCGCAGATAAAGCCCCCAAACAACATCGTTTTTGTGTGTAAATATCGTTACATAGACTGCTTGATAAATGAATTAGGTATTGACAATTCACCTGGAAACTCAACATATACCCTCACGACACTTACCTAAGAAGAAATCCTAGATAGTCATAGGTCTGTTCTATGTTCC